GCTCTACAAAAAAAAAAAAAAAAAAGAAAATCATCCCCCCGTAGAGAAGGCCACACCACAGTTCCCTCTCCTTCATTCTCGGGATGTGGGGTGAGCACTCACAGGAGCGTGTGTGCTTTTTACAGCTGCGAAGCCAGCCGTGTGGGAGCCAGCCACCCCATGACCGACCACCGAGACCACCCCACCAAGCCACCTGCTGGCCCTCCCTTTTTTTCTTTAATTGCCAGAGGGCATGTGCATTCACCAGACAGGAGAGGAGGTGAGGAAGGGGTTAGAAGCACCCACCCCAGGGGGCGTGGTCACGCCACCATCCTCTCTCCAGCTCTCAATCCCATTGGGATTTGGAGCAGGGGTGTGTACGTGCCTGGCGGGCAAGCCGCTGGGGCCAGGATGCAACCAGCCTATCGGCCACCGGGATCAGGCTCCCTTAACCGCAGTAGCTACAGGGAAGGTGCACCCTCTCCATTCCCAGCCCTCTCCCCTCCATCCACCCCTCACCGGCAGTGCAGCCAGCCTGAAAGCCTGAACAGGTGTCTGGGGACAGAGGTCCCCAGCCCAGACCCCGCCAGACCAAGAACCGAGGGCTCTGCTCACCTGTGCGACCCTCTGCAGGGCCTGTACACCCTAGCCTCTCCCTCTTAGCCCTCAGCTCAGTCCCGCGCAGGTGCAAAAACCCAGGCCAGAGGAGGAAGAGGGAATCTAGAAAGTAGCCAATACGTGGCAGAGTTGAGGATGGAACCCAAGCCCCCAGATGCTCCTGGGGCGCCCCAAGCTCGAGCTCCCCTACCTCCAATATTCAGCAGCTCAGAGAGGGTGAACAGCACTTCGGGGTCACACAGCGCTGGGGCACAGCCAGACACCCGTCCAGCTCACCTGGCTCCCGGCTGGTCGGCTGGTCGCCAGCTGCACACCCACAAGACACAGAACTAAGTCTCCAGTCCCAGCAGCGATCCAGCTCCTCCCCTCCCTCCCTCTGCCCGCCTGGGGTGGGGGGAGGCTTTAAAGGCACAGGAACAATTCCAGGTGAGAAGGCTGGCCGTCCCAAGCTCTGAACAAGAAACCAAAGCTCTGAGAGCCTGGGTGGGGTTGAGTGAGGCTGGGTTTCTGCCAAAGGCAGGTCAGACCAAAGGTTCCCTGGGACACTGTGCACTCCTCCACCCGTGATGTCCAGACACGGGTCCCCAGGGCTGGCGTGGAAGCAGATGCCCATACCAGTGGTACTTAAGGATGTCCCAGGCCAGCGGAGCCTGTTTCCCTCTGCAGATCTGGGGTAGAAGGTGCTTCCCCCTCCATCACTCTTCCTCCCCCATTCTTGGGCCTATGGGTCTGGCGGTCTAGGGGCTGTCACTTCAAGGACCCTGGTCACCTGGATTGATGAAAGTCACATGACCCAGGTGCCTCTTTCCCGCTCCCCCAACTTCTTGGCGGGAAAAGGCAGGCAAGCTGAAGAAAGACAGCCTATGGATGCAGGGGACAGGGGCTGTCCGCTCACACCCTCCCCTGTTCCGACCCATTGAATGAGGTGGGGCGGGTGCCCCCCAGAGCTGACAGCCCTCAGATCAAAGTCCACACGGGGTCTGTACCTGCCAGAATCCCCACCACCAGCAGGACCCTGGCTTAAACTCATTCATTCATTCACTCCCCCATCCAGTCCTGCGCCCTCGAAAATCTTCCTTAAAGAGCCCGCAGCCTTTTGGCCAGGAGACGACATGATTCTCCAAAGAGGAGGCACCCAGGGGCCCTGAGACAGCCATAAACCTAAGGATGGAGACCTGGGGAGTCCGCCAGAGCTGGGCTTGGACTGGGGAGGGCACGTCCAACTCAGACGGAAGGAACACTTGAGCCCCGAGGTCAGAAACTGGAGGCTTTTCCAGAAATAAGAAAGGGGACCTCTTGACCTCTCTGGGCCCTTCCTGAGCCCTGAGGTGTCAAGGCTAAAAAGGGAAGTGGCCAAGGTTAGACCCTGAAGGCACATGGCCAGTCTGGACTTTGAGAGCCTTGGGAGGCTGGTGAATGTATCACCGGGCTGGGTAACCCATTAACCCTGGCTCGCTCATTAAGAACCTGGTGCCCATTAGCTCCTTGGCAATGCGGGGATATGGGCTGAGGCCAGGGGCCGTGGGAAGAAGGGAATGTTAATGGGGGTGCAGCGTGGGGGTTGGCTGACTGAGCTGGGCTCTCCTCGTCCTCTTTCCTTGGAGGTTTCCTAGGCCAGGTTGGCCTGAGGGGGTGACACCCTGCAATCCCCCAATGCCTTTCATCTCCTAACCAACCCTGCTGAGAGTGTGCCCAAAGCCTCAGGGGGCCTTGGACAGACAGGAGGCTCAAGGGTGGGTCAGCACTCTACCCCGAGACCTGGGCTGGCCTCAGCCTCCAATGCCCTTTCTGTTCCAGCAGACACAAGTTGGCCCCACCTCTGGGTCTGGGAAATTGAGGCCCTGGTGGGGCAAGAAGGGTGCTCCCAGCACAGGAAACCACAGCCCAAGAGGGGAAGGGACCTACTCAAAGCCTCTTAGCAGGACAGTGACCCACAGCGTGGGGAAGGCCACTCGAACCACTTCCTGTCTCGCTGCACGCCAGCACGCCCCACCCACCTCCAGGTCCAGGAAGCTGACAGTACCTGGGCCCCGAGGAAGCATCAGGAAGGCCGGCACCCTAGATAGGCCACTGGGAGGACCACGGTTGGTGGAGCACAGACAGCCTGACCCAGAGTCACAGACCATGCAGTGGGCGAGCCAGGAGGGCCCAGATGCAAGCCGCACCTGACCCTAGCTGCAGGACTGCTGGGACCAGGGCTCAGGGCCTCCGGGGGGCCAGGAAACCCGATGTCAGCCAGGACGTTCAGGGTCACCTGGTGTCCTAAACTTGCAAAATGAAACTGACCTCACATCCAAGCATCAGAGCATTTGCTTTTCCCTTTAGAGATTTTTGTTAGAGTGCACATGCGTGCTTGCCAGAGAGACAAGTGAGAAACCACCCGTCAGGGGCAGGGGGATGGCCATGCCACAATCCCTTCTCCTCCCAGGATTTTGGGCATGCACACACATGAAGCTGCCAGGTCCAGGACTTGAACCACAGTCTCCCATGTGTGAGTCCAGTCACTTAATCACTACTCCACTTGCTAGCCCCAGCCTCATAGCATCTTAATCAACTTCAGGGTCACCGAATCTCAAATGTTTGGTCTTTCCCCCACCCCACCCCCGTCCCCAGAGGTTTTTGCTATAGGGCGCGTGCGCTCACCAGAAAGACAGAGACAGAAAGTGAGAAATCACCCCCGGGGGGATGGCCACGCGAGCATTTGCTTTTCCCTTTAGAGATTTTTGTTAGAGTGCACATGCGTGCTTGCCAGAGAGACAAGTGAGAAACCACCCGTCAGGGGCAGGGGGATGGCCATGCCACAATCCCTTCTCCTCCCAGGATTTTGGGCATGCACACACATGAAGCTGCCAGGTCCAGGACTTGAACCACAGTCTCCCATGTGTGAGTCCAGTCACTTAATCACTACTCCACTTGCTAGCCCCAGCCTCATAGCATCTTAATCAACTTCAGGGTCACCGAATCTCAAATGTTTGGTCTTTCCCCCACCCCACCCCCGTCCCCAGAGGTTTTTGCTATAGGGCGCGTGCGCTCACCAGAAAGACAGAGACAGAAAGTGAGAAATCACCCCCGGGGGGATGGCCACGCCACCATCCCTTCTCCTCCATTCTCCTCTCAGGATCTTGGGCACACATGCACACGCGCCCCGTGTGAGTTTAAGCCACCGGGTCCAGGACACAAACCATGGTCGGCTACATGGGAGTTCGGCGACACTGTTAGTCCCAAATGTTTGGTCTTTTTCTTCTTCTTCTTCTTCTTCTCTTTCATAGAGGACATGTACACTCACGAGAGAGACAGACAGTCAGACAGATAGAAAGGGACAGGAGGAAGCACCTTCCCTTTGGACAATGATCACAAAATCCTTCTCCTCCATCTCGCTCTCTTTTTGGGGTTTTGGGCACGCACTCAGACATGCCTGGCATGGTTCACAAGCCGCCGGGTCCAGGACTAGAACCGAGCAGTCAGCCACGTGGGATCAGCTGTCATAAGCACCAAGCCACAGAGCCGGCCTCCTTTTCCAAGTTTACTGACCTATGTCTTCCACGAGAGAGAAAGGGACAGTCGGAAATTGGGGCACCCACAACAGGGCGCTCATGCCACAATCCGCCCCCAGGCCCGGTCAGCCCAGAGCACACACTTGCACACGTGCCCGTGCCCCGTGTGGACTGGGGGGACACTGCGCCACCACCTGGCCTCTCAAATGCTCAGTCTCTGATCTGCCAGCACCTGGAAAAGCCAGCTTGCACACCTGCTCCCAAGGCTAGCTCACCGCCTCTACAGACGGTGAGACTGTGATTGGATAGCAAGTTCTTCCCAATTGAGGTTTTTGCATGTGGGGTTGGCAGGTGGCATGGTGATTAAGGGCGCTGGACTCCCACATGGCCAACCGTGGTTCAAGTCCTGGACCTGGTAGCTTGCTTTCTCACTTTCTCTCTCTCCCTCTTTCTCTGTCCCTCTCTGGTCAAATTAAAACAAACAAATAAATAGATAGACAAAAGTTAAATAAAATAATTCCCCCCCCCAAAAAAAACAAAGAGTTTTTTGCCTTAGGACACGTGCTGTTGCTGGGGAGAGAGAGAGACAGACAGTGAGAGGGAAAGTGAGAAATCACTCCCTAGGGGGATTGGCCACACTGCAATCCCTTCTCCTTTATTCTTCTCCTGGGATTTTAGGTGGGCATGCACACACACACACACACACACACACACACACACACCGGTGTGATTTTCTGGCCACCGAGTCCAGGACTTGAACCACGATCGGTCATGTGGGAGTCCAGCGGCGTAACCAATAAACCCTCTGCTGCCCCTCTCCCCCATGTGCTCCTTTATAACGTCTTCTGCAGACTGTAAGAGTCAGCCTGGCTCAGGTGGGCCTGGCCTCTGACCCTGCCTACGGAGGCCACCGAGCCGAGGAG